AAGCCAGTCATACTGTTGGCTGAATCTGTCCCTGCTGGCCCGTAGGTTGGCACTTCATAGGGGCAGCCTCGCTTCTTCCACCAAGCCCCAGCCAACCCGCACGCGGCAGCCTTACAAGGCAAGAGGCCACAACGCACTGTCGTCAAGTTCATTCCAACTCCTAGAGCCCCCGGAGGACCGAGAGGACCTGCCCCGTGAGCTTCCAAGACTGTCCATCTTTACGGGAGGGGTAGAAAGCCTCATCATTCTCCCAGGCATGGTAGGTGGTTTCGAACTGCTGACCTTGTGGTTAGCAGTGAATGCATAACCCATGATACTGCCAGTACGAGGCAACACTGCTACTGTTTCCCTTCGTAGGTTAGTGTGTGCAGGTACGATGCTGTCCAATGACTCATCCCTCTCCATGTTGAGACACAGGTCTGTGGGAGTGGGTTCGGGTATCGATTTCATGGTGGAAGAAATGCCAAACTCTTCCCCGTGGGCTCTCCTTCTTGGTTGCTGTGATTAGGGGCTGTCCAGCCAGTCTGACTCTTATGGGCCTCCAGGACCCTCTGAGCAGACTGGCTTCATAGGGCTCTCTAGGACATCACTTTATGACAGAGGATTGGCAGGCATGGACGTTGACCCTAAGCCCCAGTGGGGTGGGGGCACCAAGGTGGGGCTCCCAGTGAGCAGTTCCTACTGGCCACTGTACTTTCCATTGCCAGCTGGGAGCGAGTATGGAGCAATGTAAAAGGAATTGCCCTAGGGACTATTTTCCATAGATGCCTCTGTAGCCAGTTTCCCCTCCAGGTCAGCAGAATTCTGCGTGGCTTCAAATCGCCAGCCTTTCAGTCAGTAGCTGACTGCCTCCCCAGTGCCCGGATCTTGAGAGACAGTTTCTGCCCTAGATAAGCTAACTGACTACACCCTTCTCAGCATAGGGCCTGGAATGTGGCAGCGTGTCCCTGAATCCCCAACTCCATCTGCAAGGGCAGCTGCTTCGTTCTGGCCCAGGCAGGGGCTGGAAGGGGCAGCGGAAGGGACGAGAAGCAGTGAATGCCTTGGCCAGGCCCCTCTCCTAGCACCCTGTCCTTGGACTGAGAGCTGGACTTCTCTGCCTGTCCTCTCCAGGCAGCTGAGCCTCTGCAGGCTGCCCTTGGCACTTCCATTCCGGGGAAGAAGGGCCTTCCGGGGCAGGGTGGGGGTGGCCCTCAGGGGTCTGAGGGGGGCTAGAGCCCCCCCTGCTCCCTATTCATCTTCCTTTGGGAACTCGCTGTGCTAAAAACAAGCATTCTGAGAACCATATTTTTTCTGGGTTAAAGGTGAAAAATGCAGTGTTTCCTCCAAGTGGAAAGCGCTGGGCCTGCCAGCTCCAGGCACGTTCTAAGATCCTTCCTCCCACTCAGGGCGGGTCCACAGAGGAGGAGAGTGAGCCCAGGGCCAGGGCCGGCCTGGGTGGTGGTTGGTGGCGGTGTGTGTGTATGTGTGTGGGTGGGGGGGGGGGGGGTTGTACACTTCTGTAGGAAAGCGCTCGCCCATCGCTCAGAAATCAAGATAGTGAGTGTGCGGAGCCCCCAGGGCTGTTTGCATTGGAGAGAGCCAGGCTCAGAGACGGGCTGGGACTGCACTGGGTCAGGAATGAACAATGAGCAAGGGCGGGCAACCAGGGCTGCCCTTGACTGGGGCCACCAGGCAGGCGAACCCTCAGGCTTCTGGGGTGTTGGGGGACACACAATAGACACCCCACAGGTCTTCCTGGAGGCCCTGAGCATATCTGCAGGGGTGTGGGAGACTGGCTGCTGAATAGAAACAGGGGCTTCCCTCATCCCACACAGCCAGCCTTGCTTAACAGATGGTGGGAAGTCCAGGGGGAATTTTCCCAGACTTAGGCTGTGATCAAAGCTTTTCAGGAACACAGGCTGCACAATCTCCTTCCTCTCTTGGCAGGAAAGGCCTGGGCGTCGTCTCCCAGCTCCCTGGCTACCCCCCAGGCCTCTCAGGAGCTAGGAGCCCAGCCCGCCTCGGCCAGCCTGCCTTTCACCAGAGGGCTACCCAAAGCCATGGCAGTGAGCCCGCCTCTCTGCTAGACCCCCTTCTCAGAACAACCTTCCTCCCCGCCCCCCACAGCTGCCAGAAGCCAGGCAATACATGGAGGAGCTAGGGAAGCAGGGCTGAGGACCAGGATGGAGGGGAAGCAGGGCTGCCGCCTGGCCAGGCAAGACTAATTACTGCCAGCCTGGGCCTCTTCCGCACCCCAGGACCCCTGCAGAATGCCCCCACCTCTGTCTAGTCCCTCAATGCCACTTCTCTCAGCACACGGCTGGCCTCAGGAGGATCGACTGTATTCGTGGCCCTGGTTCTTCCCTGCGTCCTGGGCCAGGTGACACCGTGGCTCCTCTCCCCGTGGACCGAGGCGCAGCTAGCTGACTTCTTCATGGCTTCAGTCTTCCTATTGACCGGCCACTTGATTCAGACTCGCATCAAGGCCCCAGGTGGGTCTGCGCAGGACTGTACTCCGGAGCTGGTTTGTTGAAATAGATGGCTAGGTTTTCCTTCTGAAGCACCCCTGGATGGATTCAACCCCCCAGCCTTGCCTGTGAATCGTTTGCACCCTTTGACGGATGCAGTGAAACCCGTGAGAGCCAGACCGCAATGGGACAGCCTTGCTTTTTATTTTGACCTCTCAAGTTTTCTGCCTTTGACAGGGCGCATTCCTACCACGTCACTAGCTCTCACATAAGGAGACAAGACCTGTGTGCGGCCTCCCGCACAGGGGGCTGCCTGACTCAGGATCCAGCACACATAGGTGTTTCTGTAGCCATGGCAGAAGTCAGACAACGCCGTTCTGAATGTACACCCTGCAAGGCCTGACTCCTGTGTTCTCACCCTCTTGCATGGGCAGGGCATGCCCAGGCGAACCTGCGGATCCTGGGGTGAGAGGCAGATGGAACACATTCTGCTCACTTCCTCCTCCCGGTTGAGAACATCGTGTGGCGATGGTGCTGGCGGTTAGTTCTGATGCACGGCCACCCTGTGTTTGCCAGAAGGAAACACCGCCAGGTCCCGTCTGTGCCCTCCCCGTGGTTCTGACGGTTGAGCCCGTGGTTGGAGCCACTGTGCCAGTCCGTCTTGTAGAAGGCCTTCTTCCTTTTCGCCGCCTGGCTACTTTACCAAGCATGCCGTCCTTCACCAGGACATCCTAGGACACCTTAGGTTAGCCAGGCCCCAAGTTTGTGAGCAAACCCAGCCAAGACCAGAGCAAAAACGGAAGGCCCGAGACACGTGAGCCATCCTTGTTGGGTGCCATTGAGATCCCGTGGTGCTTTGGGTGCAGCATGACTCTAGTGACAGCAGATAACGCTTCCAGCGACAGCCGGGGCCTCACCAGCCCAGGCTAAGCACTTCCTGCCCACTGGAACCCAGGCCGCACCCCTCAACCTTGGGACAAAGAGGTATTCCCACAACCACCTCTGCTACGCAAGCATCCTATTTCCTCCTGGCTTTTGTCCACTGAGAGCCACGCGAGAGCCTTCTCCTCACTTGGATTCTCATCGCTAACCCAGCTCTCTGTCCTGCGCCTCCCAAGCTCTCCGTCCCTCTGGAGGCTTCCCAGGTCGGCTGCCCTCTCACCTGCAGGAGCCCTTGGGGTGACAGCCCTCCATCTGCAGCCCACCCAGAAGGAAGGCGGCTCTGAATCCTCTTCGGGGCCAGCCCACGCTCGCTCCCAGGCTCCCCCTTCCGTGGGTCACTGTGTGGGTCTCCGGATGACTCGCCTGGAACAGCACCCCGGCAACACAACGGGTCTGGCGTCGGCTCAGCGACTTTGCTAAAATCACAGGGAATGTTTTTGGGGGCCGGAGGCCATCTATTTAAAGCGTGCTGTGCAAACAACTCCCTTCTATCGTGGGAAGCTCGGGCCCCAGCAGTTTCTAAGGAAGGGGTGTGGAGGCGAGGCTCTGGGGTGAGGAAACGACCCACTTTCTACCAGGGGGCTCGTCCTCACCCACGCGACACTCCAGGGTAAACGTGCAGGAGAGGATGCGTGCATTCTTATCATTGTTTCCTTGAGCAGGAGTCTTGCTCTTCTTCCTCTGGTTAGAAGACTCAAGGATTCCCAGAGGCTGGCAGCCAAAGGTAGGGACCCAAGAGGAAGCTCTTTAGTTCATGGATTCGTCTTTTCGGATCCTTCGAGTGCCCGAAATTGGGCTTTTCCCACAACTCAGAAGTCTTGGCTGAGTGACTGTCCCCCCAAACCAGAGTAGAGGCCTCACTGGGTCCACAGATTGACTCATCGGTCTTGGGTCTGATTTCTCTTCTCTTGGGGGGCTGCAATCACCTCACCTTGTCCTGAGCCACTCGTGCCCTGGGGACCCGCCAGGAAGCCAGCTGACGCCTGGGCCACATGCGTGAACGGAACAGGGACACAGCTGATGATCCCCAAGAAGAAGGCCTCCTTTTCCAGTTCTTGCCCATGTGCCCGGACCACGCTGAGGGCTTCCCCCAGCCGCGCGCCAAGTCCCGTCTTCCTGAGTCAGAGGGAAGACTACTCAGAAACCTGGTGGACTGTCTGAGGCCCATCCAGCGGTACAGCCTCTGCAGGGATCGGTAGCACCTTCAGGAGGGAAGGAAGGATAGGAACGCTCGAGCCGTTTTCCTCCCTTTAGTGCAGGTTGGCACCCACATTGTCCTCCTCTCTTCGAACAAAGATGACAGTGACCCACCTCCATGACACACGTTCCTTTTAATCCGCTTGTTCTGGAAAGTTGTACACTCGCCTCCTGGCGCCCCCAAGATAACCATCCCCGCCCCACGCTGTGGGCCCAGCTCTCTCTCCCACATCACTGACACCAAACGGTCCCCAACCACAAGTCCCGCCCCACCCCCCAAAAAGAAAGTTTTTAGGAAAGTGTGCAAAGGCAAGGACACACACACACACACATACACACACACACTCACACCCTTCCAAAGCACACTGTGTGGACAGGCTGCAGCTAGAAAAATAGAGACGTACAAAAAAAGAGCTACAAATTCAGGGCGCTCCTCATACAAAAAGGACCACAGGTCTAGCGGTCCACTTTGTGGGGAGCACTCTGATCACGTTTAGTCTCCCCGGAACCGTCAGCACAAAGAGCGGCGAGGCGCTAAAAGGGTAGATCTGAACCAGTCTGTGGGCCACTTGGAGGGGCGAGGTCACCCAGTCATTGGGCTATCAGCAAGAGGGCGGTGAGTCAGGCGAATCTCGAGAAGTGGTTTCAGACTGCCCTTTGGGTTGCTGTCCCTTATTTCTCTTTTGGAGCCCTCTGAGTCACAAGGCAGTCAATGAGCTACAGCACACAGGCTCTGGAATCTGTATGGAAGTGTGATCTCTGGCAGCCACGACACCTGGGATGGCTCACCTCCAATGCTTGCTCTGCAGCATGCCCTGCTTGGTTGGGTCCACAGAGCATCGGTGGAGAAGGCCACCGGGGACTGCCGTCTCAGCTCTCCGCCTCTCCTCCAGGTGTCCTTGCTGTAGGAGGAGGGGAAACACACCTGGTCCCAGTGCCTCTGGGTGAGGCGTCCGGCAGGGTCTCCGGGCCCCGGGGTGTCTCAGGAAAGTAGGCTCTGTCCCTTGGGCGAGGCCAGCTGGTGTTACTTGGATCCACACGTATGGATGTTTTTCCCATCCTTGGCATCTTCCACAAGGGAAATGTGGTAATCGGTGGACAGGGTGAAATGGGAGACACAGCCTACCAGGCCTCTCATGTACTGTCGGTTCGTGTGCAGAGCGATTTCTTTCATGCCACCTGTCGGGAAGCAAGAGGGACACAGGGTGGGTCAAGGGGGGTCTTGCACAGCAAAGAAGAGTATGGCCTTTCTCGGTGGCATGGGAACAGAGGCATCTCTTGGCTGGCAGAACAGGTGAGCGCCGTGGGCTCCCGGAACTGCTCAGGCCATCCATAGCACTATGTTAGAGTGATCCCTGAAGGAGCTGGTTGGCTTGGATCCATTGGGGCATTAAGTACACATGTCACAGGTGATCTGTGGGCCAGTAAACTCTAATGACTATGGAAATACTGGATGAATGCCGCCAAGATGTAATGTGTAGGTAGACTAGAGAGGGCATTTATCATCTTCAACCAAGTGAGGTGTAGTGGTCTTTCAAAAGGATGTAGACGCTCTTGCTGAAATTCAGGAAGCACTGCGTGGGCGTCACACAAATAACTGTTCATCTTGACGTGCCCACACATAACGTTCTGCGCCAGTTATGGAAATACCATTTACTTCTGGCTGAGAGGGCTAGGCAGGCAGCTCCACCCCCCTCGACAAGAGGTATATTTAGGAAGTCCCGGCTCTAGAAACAAGGCAAACATGGTCTTCCAATGCACTAGAACAACTCAGCAGTTTCCTTCCTGCCTTCAGCCGTGAGTCCAAGGCGCAGGAAGTGGAGGAAGGGGCCAGCGTGAGGGCGTCCCGACTTCTAGGAATATGCCTGACCTAGCGAGGGGCATCGTGACAAATGGACAGGGTATCATTTCTGTGAGGTCCGAGGTCACTCACTGAGTTAGTTAATTGTGCCAGCCTGGCCGATTATCACATGTGGGGCTAATT